GGGTACAGTGTGACCCAGACTGGACCAGTGATCTCTGGACTGGAGGGGTACAGTGTGACCAGACTGGACTGGAGACTGGACTCTAGAGTTAGAATCTGACCGGCTTGTTCTCTGCCTGGAAAAGGTTCCTCTGCTCCTTTTCCATTTTTGGTACAGAACACTACTGTGTCCAATAATTCATCTCATAAGCAATGCAGAGCAATTTCCTGGATCTCTGTGGCACGGACTGTTCTCTCATTCAAGCCTACCTGTGTAACTCAAGCTGCTCCGTGACTCGCAGTGGTGTTGAGTTTCCTGTAGTGGGTGGAGGGAGGAGTCAGAGAGACTGGAGGGAAACACAGAGACCGCCGAGAGAGAAGCAGGAACGAGAGGACGAGAGAAATCATGTCCTCCTTTTCGCTCTCCTCCCTGAACCTTGGTAAGTGACTCTCACTCCTGAACAGCTCCGCTGTCTCCCTCCTCCCTGTCTCCCTGCTCTGCCTCCAGCCAGCAGGATTACTGATCTCTGTTAATCTCGCGCTGCAGACTAGAGTGTACTTTCACAGTTACTTTCAGTTACTCAGGAAATTGTACCGCAGAGCTGAAATTCAGCGCAAAGCTCTGTTCGAGGTCTCACAGAGAGCCTACAGCCCACACCCAACCCGACAAAACAAATTGCTTTCGGCTACTCTCGGAGTTACAGTGCGGTCCGTTAAGTATTTGGACAGTGACACAATTTTTGCTGTTTTGGCTCTATACTTTAGCACATTTGAGTTGAAATAAAACAACCTACGAGGTTAAAGTGCAGAATGTCAGCTTTCATTCGAGGGTTTTGACGTCTATATTGGGTGAACCATACGGGAATCACAGCCCTTTTTATACATCGTCCCCCCATTTCAGGAGACCAAAAGTAATCGGACACATTAACATGATCTTAAATAAAATTTGGCTTGTTTGCAAATCCTTTGCAGTCGATGACTGGCTGAAGCCAGCGACCCGTAGACATCACCAGACGCTGGGTTTCTTTCCTGCTGATGCTCTGCCAGGCCTGTAATGCAGCCATTATCAGTTCCTGCTTGTTTTGGGGGCTTTGTGCTTTCTGTCGTGTCTTCAGTAAGTGAAACGCAGCCTCAGTGGGATTCAGGTCGGGCGATTGACTTGGCCAGTCCAGAGCATCCCACTTTTTGGCCCTGAAAAACTCCATAGTTGCTTTAGCAGTATGCTTTAGCAGGGGTCACTGTCCTGCTGCAAGGTGAAGAGCCATCCAATGAGTTCTGAAGCATTTGGTTGGACCTGAGCAGATAAGCTGCTTCTGTACACTTCAGAATTCATCCTGCTGCTGCTGTCTGCAGTCGCATCATCAAGAAAGACAAGTGAGCCAGGTCCACTGGCAGCCACACATGCCCAATCCAGGACACCACCTCCACCATGTTCCACAGATGAGGCGGTCTGCTTTGGATCATGAGCAGCTCCATTTTTTCTCCACACTTTTGTATTTCCTTCACTCTGGTACACGTTCATCTTCATCTCATCTGTCCATAAGGCTTTGTCCCAGATCTCTACAGGCTGTATTATACATTTTAGCAAACTGTAACCTGGCCTTCCTGTTCTTAAAGCTTAGCAGTGGTTTGCATCTTGTGGTGAACCCTCTGAGGTTATGCTGGTGTATTCTTCTCTTTATGGTCGTCTTGGACACATCCATGCCTACATCCTGGAGAGTGTTCCTGATCTGTTCAGCGGTCAAACAGGGTTTTTTCTTCACGATGGAAAGTATTCTTCGGTCATCCACTACTGTGGTCTCCCGTGGTCTACCACATCGTTTGCTATTGCTGAGCTCACCAGTGCGTTCTTGCTTCTTAACAGTGTACCAAACAGTTGATTTTGACACACTATGGCACACACTGGCTATGTCTCTGATTGATTGATTCTGATTTTACAGCCTCATGATGGTCCACTTTCCTGGCACTGCCACTTCTGTGGTCCTCATGTTGAGAGACAACAGACTCCAGATGCAGATGTCTCTTAGATTTAGATCTCTTAGATAAAGTTTCTGACACTTGGGAGAGTGAACACTTCTAGCTTCAAAGCAGAGAGGATGTTTGCTGAGGTCTGAGGGGTTCCTTCAGCCAAAAGAATACCCAACAATTGTAAAATTCACCCTAGAATATCTACTGTAGGTTAGTTGTGGGTTAATGATTATCAATGAGCAGTACAGGAACATACAACATAATATCACTGTAAGAGCACAGAGGAAGAAAGAGAAGCCCCCACAGTCCAGAGATCACCGGTCCAGTCTGAATTTCCTTACAAAAAGTATGGACTTTGCATTTTTCCTGCTTTAATGACTTATTAACTGGCATTTCAACAACAAATATTATTTGCCTCTAGTATTGCAGTAAATTTAAGTTTTGTTCTCCCACAACTCCACGTTTTGTTCATGTGAATCACAGTATCTCAGCTGAGTAACCAATTCCTTGAGTTTGGAGAGAAACAATTGATTGGATCAAGGATAAGGTCATACTAGTGAGGGACTGGGCGGTACTTTCTGCACACTGATTGAGTGGAATTGATCTGTGCAGATGAGCTGTCAGGAGTGTCCCAGCTCTAACTGTGCTCTTCCTCTCTGACAGGGGTGAGAGTCCCAGCTGCAAGAACACAGGAGA